ATGACTGAACAGAGTGGGGATTCAGATTCTCCTTAATATCTGCAACTCGGAAAAACGCAAAACCAGACAAACATTCCCTTTTGGGTGGGGGTGGGTAGAGACTTTCCAAAGAAGCCTGTTTACACAATTCTCTTAATGGCCCTGTGCTTTGCAGTTAGCTGGAAATGTGGAATGTAGGCTAGAGGTTATCCCTCAGAATTTTCTAGAACAAAATGAGTTGTGTTGCCTCCCTCCTTTTCCTTCCAGGTCAGAGATCATCTCTGCTCATCAGGACTCTAGCTCTTACCATCAACACCTTCAAAATATCATCTAAACTCTTTTACTACCTAATATTGAGTTACTGTCAGCCAAATTCAGAGAGCGATGAGATATATTAAGGGATTTATAGTATATATTAAGGGATATATAATGGCACATGTATAAAGAGATTTACAGTAAGGAATTGACTTATACCATTGTAAGGGCTGGCTGGCTAAACTGGTCTGAAATTCTTGGTCTATCAGAAAGGGCAACAGCTGTAGTCTACCTGCCTAAATCATCTTTTGATAACATGCTTTGTTTGTTCATTTTGCCTTTTTTTCTTTGTTTTTTCAGGGTTTCTCTGTGTATCTGGGCTGTTGTGAAACTCACTCTGTAGACCAGGCTGTCCTTGAACTCAGATATCTGCCTGCAGCTGCTGGGATTAAAGGCCTGAGTCACACCTCTCTCTCTCTCTCTCTCTCTCTCTCTCTCTCTCTCTCTCTCTCCTGAATTTTGTCTTTCACCTCAAAGAAGCTTTAGTTCTGTTTCTAAGGGCCTTTCAACTGATTGAATAAGGCCCACTCAGAATGATTGAATAGGACCCACCCACCAGAATGACTAGGAAAACCTTCCTTCCTTCCTTCCTTTCTTTTCTTTTTCTTTTTTTTTTTGGTTTTTCGAGACAAGGTTTCTCTGTAGTTTTGGAGCCTATCCTGGAGCTAGCTCTTGTAGACCAGGCTGGCCTCAAACTCACAGAGATCCGCCTGCTTCTGCCTCTATAGTGCTGAGATTAAAGGTGCAAAGACGTGTGCCACCACCACCCAGCTGGAAAACTTTGCTTGATATCAAATCATCCTGGACATTAATCCTGCTTGCAAGTTACATCTTTTATAACACCTATATCTGTGTTTTCTTAATTGTTTTTTTTAACTTTTAATTTTAAGGACTAGAGAGAGATGGGTTAGATCTAAAGAGTACTTTTGCAAGGAAGGACCAGAGTTCCATTCTCAGAACCCACATTGGGCAGCTAACAACTGCCGGTCATTCTAGCTCCAGGAGGATCCACTGTCTCCTCCACAGGCAGGCCCACACCTATGCCTAGACACAGAATTTGTGTGTAGGACTGTGTGGGTATGAGGGTCAGAGGACAATTTTTGGAAGTTCCACCCTGGGCTCTAGAGATAAAATTAAGACTATTAGATATTCCTGGCAAACTTTTTTAATTGCTGGGCCATCTCACTGGCCCTTTTTCTTTTGTGAGACAAGGTCTCATGTAACTCAAGCAGATATCGAACTTGCTAGAAGTCAAAAATAGCCTTGTCCTCATGATCCAGCAGTGTCTGGGAGTAGAAGCATGCACCACACCTAACATGTTTGGTGCTGCTCTATTCTTCTTCACTCCCTCTTCTGATCCTCCCCTCCTTCCGTTCCTTCTGACACAGGGTTTCACTACTATATATAGCCCAGCCTGGCCTGGAACTCATAATCCTCTTGCCTACAGAGGTGGGATTACAGATATGGGCCACCATGCTCAGTTTTGAGACTACACTGGATTCAGTAACAGGAAGCACAGCATACATGAGTGGTCATACAAGCTTCTTGCTGCTCTTCTCGCCTGAGCTCTCCACATACCCTCCTTCACCCTCTCCCCACTTCACACGTTCCCTTTGCTAAGCCTCTCCTTTGATTTATTTTTTCTGTTTGTTTGTTTGATTGATTTTTGTTTTAATTTCCTCTAAGGATACCAGCTTGGGTCTCGTGGAACCCATTTCTCGTAAAATCCTCTCTAGACCCTCAGTTTGATTTTGTTTCTCTACCTCTAAGTGCTGGGCTGGGGTTATGGAGGTATGCCACCACACCAGGCTATTAAGCTTTTTGTGTGTGTCTTGTGCCTTCTAGGAGAAAAGGAGTGCATGTTGTTCCTTCTTTATGTGCCAACCCTCCAGAGGGCCTGTTATATAGGCAATCAGAACATTTCTTCTGAATTATGTTAAATTTACAGAACCCACCATAACTTACATATGACCCAGTCATACTTTTCAAAACCTCACTTCTCTCTTGTTCTCTCTTTAGAAGATTTGCTTTTATTAGTTTTCAGTGTGTCATATGAATACAGATGCCCTTGGAGGGAAGAGCAGTTGTGAGCAACCTAAATGCAAGTGCTGAGAATCGAACTTGGGTACTCTGCAAGAGCAGTACTTGTTCTTAACTGCTGAGCTATCTCTTCAGCCCTAAAGGTAGACAGTTTTATGGTTTTAAGAGCAATAATATGCATAGAAAGAGCAGGGGGCTCTCTATGTAGCCCAAGCTATACTGGAACTCATTAGGCCAGGCTGGCCTTGATCTCACAAAGGTCTGCCCAACACATCAGTGCTGGTAATTCCACTGTGCCCAGCTCTCAAGAACTCATTTCTGTGCCCACTGGTTGTGGTGCACACCTTTAATCCCAGCACTCTGGAGGCAGAGGCAGGTGGATCTCTGAGTTTGAGGCCATCCTGGTCTACAGAAAGAGTTCCAGGACAGCCAAGGCTACAAGGAGAAACCCTATCTTAAAAACAAAAAGTCTCATTTCTGCTAGATGAGAAGGTAAGGTACTTGGTTGGAAGTCTGGCAAAGGAGAACTGCCTCAAATTCTAGGACAGCCTAAATGGCACAGCAATTACCAGACCAGCCAGGGTTATATGTCAAAAACCTGTCTCAAGTGGTGGTGCACGCCTTTAATCCCAGTACTCAGGAGGCAGAGGCAAGCATATCTCTGTGAGTTCCAGGCCAGTCTGGTCTACAGAGGGAGTTCCAGGACTGATTCCATAGCTCCTGAGAAACCCTGTCTCAAAAAACCAAAAAAAAAAAAAAGGAAGAAAGAAAAAAACCAACCAAAAAAAAAAAAAAACCTGTCTCAAAACAAAAGAAAACTAACTTGGGAATGTAGCTCCATTTGTAAAGGGCTTGTTTAGCATGCATGAAGTCCTGTTCTTGATCACCAGCATAACACAAACCAGGCATGCTGGTGCATTTCTGTAATCCCACACCAGGGAGATGGAGGTAGGAGAAGTTCAAGATCATACAAGTTAGAAGCCAGACTGTAATAGAAAAGATCCTATCTTAAAACCAAAAATCAAACACACACTCATGCTTCACTTAGCATCCTCTGTCCACACACTCACACACATTGTCCGTTCTCTGATGCTAATCTATCCATGTCTAGCCATCTCTAAAGGTCAGAGAGCATATTTTACCTAATTTACCTTATTTATCTATTTATCAAGAAAAGGGGGGGTTTCTCTCTTTGTAGCTAGCCCTAGCTGTCCTGGAATTCTGTAGACCAGGCTGGCCTCGAACTCACAGAGATCCACCTGTCTCTGCCTCCTGAGTGCTGGGATTAAAGGTGTGTGCCACCACTGCCCAGACCAGAGTTTCATTATGTGTACCTGGCTGTCTTGGGGATCCTCCGGCCCTAGTCTCCTCAGTGTTAAGATTATAAGCATGTACCACCATACCTGGTAGTCGTTATTTTGTTTATTGTTTTTGTTTTGACACAGGGTCTCACTATATATCTCTGGTTTCCCTGAACTCACTTTGTAGACAGGACTGACTTAGAACTGATAGATCTACCTGCCTCTACCTTTAGAGCGCTAAGATTAAAGGTGTGTGCCACCACCACTAGCTTAGTAATGACATTTTTGATTCTAAAACTGTGTTGATTTTTCTTTTATATCTATTTTGTGGCTGGAATATGAAAATGGAGTTTAAAAATCAGTTCCAGGGTATCTGAAGCCCTCATGCCAATGTACATAAAATTAAAAAATTAATTAAAAAATAAAATAAAGTTTGCTTTGGTCCAGTTAGCAAGTTATCATCATAGAAGTAATAAAAGTGTGCAAAAGGTCACATTAGTAACACTACCTAGTCATTGTGGCAAACAGACCTAAATGCTTTGCTGATTCTGTCGGGGCTCTTCATGGATATTTTAATTTTTCTTCTTCCAAGCATTAGGTAACCAGAATTTTATCACCTATATATTAGGGAAAAGCCACACTCCTTCTCTGACTAAACATACTAGACTCCAGCCTCAGAAAGAAAATGCAACTTTCTCCTGCATTGTTCCAAGCTGAGTTGTCTGCAGTCACTTTACCCTGGGACTTGCCCTTCAGGTAAAAACCACACTTGGTAATTAGAGCCGGTACACAAGTCCTTTGGGTGGTATGTGCCTGCGTTAAGGCTGTCTTTGTGATGTAAACGTGCTTTAATTTAACCCCATACTTACAACGAGATAAAAATCCGGATCAGAAACCTGCACACTCACAGGGCTACCATCCCGCTAAGACAGATATATTTAAAGGAAAATGCATGGGATGGGTTTGGTTTTTTGATCTGAAACAAAAGAAACAATAAGGATGATTTCCCATTTTAGGGGGGCGGAGATCTAGCCCTAAGGGTCTGTAAAATTCCTCCACCTACAGCTTTTCACACCCAGAGAACCTGCTCCACGCTTTCCAGCTAGCATTGCCCTAACACGGTGCTAGCAGGAGGCGGGGCTACTTCTTAGCCTCTGCCCTTTCAAGCCTTCTATCCAATTGTCAGAGGGAGTAGTTGGGCGGCAACGTTACCGGAAGACTCCGCCCCTCATTCTGGATCAGCCAATCCTGAAAGGATGGGTGGGACACTTCCTTTGTGATCCCGCCCCCTTGGCACTCAATAATTAGAGTCGCGCGCTGGGCGGGAATGTAAGATGGCGGAGTAGGAACTCGGTGTGCTAGGTGTTAAGGCTACCGGCTGACTAAGCGTCCAGTCTCCGCAGCGGCAGCAACCACTGAGCAAGAGCGCGTCCGTGTAGTTGCCCAATATGCCGAATATCAAAATCTTCAGCGGGAGCTCCCACCAGGACTTATCCCAGAAAATTGCTGACCGCCTGGGCCTGGAGCTAGGCAAGGTGGTGACTAAGAAATTCAGCAACCAGGAGACCTGGTAAGGACGAAATTGGCATCCCGAGTGCACCTCACCTGCCCGGGTGGCGGGACCTTGGGGGATGGAGCTGCCGCGGGAGTTCGGGGGCGCTGAGGGAAGGCAGAAGGGAGCTGCTGAGGTTAGCTTGCCCCGTGAGCTGTTCCGTTATTTTACCTCGTCGTCGGAGGGTCGCGTTTATCCTCGCCGCGCGGTTAGGTGGAACCAAGATGGAGGGGGCAGGAGTAGATGCTACATTTGAAGGTTGGGGATGGAGGATCTAACTGGGGCTGGTAATGGCCTCCCCGGAGCTCCTGGAGGGGTACCGACGCTTAGTTTCAGCCATGGGGACACGTGGCTTGTCTCTTCATTGTGGAACCACTAGGCTGGATTCGGTCCGCTTTGGGGCGCTTTGACTGGTACACATCGGAGAACCTACCGCGTTCTGATAGCCCCCTCGTGGTCTTACTCCTAGAGTCAGAAAGCTTTTTTGATTCGAAATGGAGCGTTCTGGTTTGGTATTCTGAGTATGCGAACATGTTACCATTTCCCTTCGATTATCAAGCGTCGGCTTTTCCTATCTTCGCAATCTGTCTGTCGCGGAATCGGAACCATCCTTAACTTAAATCGAGGCGGTAGGATGAAGTGGTGCTTTAGCTCAGCATCCTTGATCTTCAGCATCTCATCCTGAGACATCCCGAAAGTCTTGGGGAAAGCTAAATTGTGGAATTGGAATTTTTGACTTTTCCCAATGCTGCTATTGGCACACCTCTTCTCGGTGTTACTTGCGTGGGGATGTAGGAACGACTTACACGTGAATTGAAATTTGAAGGTTTTTTTTCGGTTTTTTTTCGATGCTTTGCCTTAAAACTCCTCGCCCAGCGCTGGTGTGCATAGTGTCACGCACCTGTAATTTGTAATCACACCACTGGGCAGAAGGAGGAGGATGGCCAGCCACAAGCTTGAGGCTAATTCTGGACTCGTCGGACCACATAGTGAGATCCTCTTTCAAATATTAATTACTAACAAAACTCGCTCTCTAGCCCCAATTTCATGGTCCACGTGCACTTTTTGACCATGTGAGAGGTTACCTACTTCAGTGCCTGTTCCAGCCGTCTGTGGAACGTTCTAGGTCTCCTGCGCTGTTTTTTTGTTTTGTTTTGTTTTCCCACAGTAGATAAGAGCACAGGCCATAATTCTTTTTTCATTGAGTTTTTTGGATTTTGTTTTTAGGGTGCTTTTTTGAGGGGGAATCCCCTGCAGGTCTTGCCTCTTTGCCTACTTAGTAATGGGATTACTGGCAGAAGCCATCACTACCCCTACAGTCTACAATCTTACATCATCTGTTAGGGGTCATTTTTTTTAAAAAAAAATCATCAGTTAATTTACATAAGATTTGTTTTTTAATGAATGTTTTGTATCTTCAAAGTGATTTCCAAATATAACTTTTTTTTTTTCAAATAGGGTTTCTTTGTAGCTTTGGAGCTTTCCCTGGAACTGGCTCTTATAGACCAGGCAGAGATCCACCTGCCTCTCTAGTGCTGGGATTAAAGGCGTGCGCCCCCACCGCCTGGCTATAGCTTTATTTTTTATTTATTTTATTTATTTATTTATTTATTTATTTATTTTTTTGGTTTTTCGAGACAGGTTTCTCTGTAGCTTTAGAGGTTGTCCTGGAACTAGCTCTTGTAGACCAGGCTGGCCTCGGACTCACAGAGATTCACCTACCTCTGCTTCCCGAGTGCTGGGATTAAAGGCGTGCGCCACCACCACCACCGCCCGGCCTTATGTTTTTTTTTTTTTTTTTTAGACCTAGCTAAAAGTTCATCTGTAATGGATGGCTGCCCCTGGATTAGTAGGCTATTAATTGTGATGCAAATGTTAGTGCAAACACAAGCATCTGTAACCAGGCAATAAATACCTTAGTCAAAAGAGGAGTGCAAGCTGCTTGTTACCTCTGACCAGTATTATTCCTGGGCCTCAAGAAAACAGCTTCAGACTTTGAGAACGATAGTTTAGTTAGGGGGTAAAAGTGTTTTTCATTTTAGAGGTTTTCTTTACCCTTTTGGTTATTGAGTCTTCCTCTGTTTTCAGAAAAGAAATGACTGTTTTGTCCTTGTATTAATCCTTAGCCCGCTGCATACTGCAGAACCTGAGATTAGGTTTGGGTTGGTGGTCATGGGAGAAGAGAGAACACAGTTTTCTACTGCCTGATTTTGATAAAGCAGCTTGAACAAGGCGTTTAGGTTGTTGTTTTATTAGTTTATGTGTGTGGGTGTTTTGCCTGCAGATATGTCTGGCATTGCATGCCTGGTGCTTGCTAAAGTCAGGAGAGTGGTTAGATCCCTTGTAGTGGCATTTCCCTTTTATTTTAATAAATAAATGCCTGAAGAAATGGGAGGAAACACCTCTCAGACACAGTTTCCAGGAAAACTCAGTGTTGGACTGAGATCGAGGTAAGAGCCAGTGGCTGACTGCTTTGCTTTTCTGGTCTTCAGGTTGAACCCCAATATCTATCTCTGAGTCTTTATCGTACTTCATTTGACACAACGTGGGAAGCACGATTAATAAAAACTCAGAGAAATTGGGGTTCAAAGCAACCAGTCACTCTTACCTTCAAGAATCTCAGAATGAGACTGAGAGCTGTCTGTTCCCATATTATAATCCTCTCTAGGGCTGGGAATAAAGGCGAATACCGCCCGCTTTCTATGGCAACTGGTGTGGCTACTGGGATTAAAGGTGTGTGTTACTGCTCTCTGGTCTGTAAGGCTGACCAGTGGGGCTGTTTTACTCTCTGATCTTCAAGCGAGCTTTGTTTATTCAAATACAAATGAAATGTCACTACAATCCCTGGGACTGGGTCACAGATGGCTGTAAAGTGCCATGTGGGATCTGGGAATCCTCCGCTAGAGCAGCCTGTGCTCTTAACCACTGAACTGACTCTCCAGCCCTGAATATGGTTTAGCTTTAAGTTTGCCTTTGAAAAATGGCTGAAATGTTGGTTATTAAGCAAAAATGTTAGTGGAGGTTGGGTGTTGAGTTGCTAAGTGGTTTTTTTTTTATGTGGGTGGGGGAGCCTGGAGCACACCTGGCTGGCTAGAACTTGCTATGTAGACCATGCTGGTCTTGGCTTTCTCGGTCCAATTAACAAGCCTGCACCGTCACGCCTGACCTCAGAACGTTTTTTGTTTTAGGTTTTGGCTTTTTGAGATAAGGTTTCTCTGTAGTTTTGGCTGTCCTGGAACTCACTCTGTAGACCAGGCTGGCCTCAAACTCACAGAGATCAACCTGCCTCTGCCTCCCACCCAAGTGCTGGGATTAAAGGTGTTGGACACCACACCAGGCTAGAACATAATTTTTAAAAAGATTTTATCTTATTTATGTGTAAGTTTGTGTGTTGGGGGGGCATGTGTCACATGTTTGGGCACTTGCAGATTCCAGAAGAGGGCACCAGATGCCCTGGAATTGGAGTTATGGGTACCACCTGATGGGACATTGGGTCTTCTAGAAGAACAAAACAGCAGGGACTCTTAACTTAGTTTCTCTCTCTCTCTTTCTCTCTTTCTCTCTCTCTCTCCCTCCCTCCCTCCCTCCCTCCCTCCCTCCACTATACTCAGTTAAGGACTCTTTTTTTTTAAATATTTATTTATTTATTTATTTATTTATTATGTATACAATGTTCTGCCTACACGTACCCCTGCAGGCCAGAAGAGGGCACCAGGCCTCATTACAGATGGTTGTGAGCCACCATGTGGTTGCTGGGAATTGAACTTAGGACCTTTGAAAGAGCAGGCAATGCTCTTAACCACTGAGCCATCTCTCCAGCCCCAACTGTCACTTTCCCTAGAACACAAATCTTAAGGACTAACCTCTAATGATGCTATTATATTTGTCATGTATTTTTAGATGTTTAAACTGGCAATAATTATTCTTGTTTGGAAATCTTTGCCCTTTCCCTTATTGTTGGCATATATTGTACAAAAGGCTGGACTTTATTTTGACAAAGGAAATGTTTTCTCTCCCGGAAAAGTCTAGATTATGAGGTTTCATAATTAATAACCCATCTGCTTTAAAGAAAGAATTTGAAACCAGGCAATAGTGGCACACACCTAACACTCTAGAGGCAGAGGCAGGCAGGTCTGATCTACAGAGGTAGAGGCAGTTCCAGGCCAGCCTAAGCTACATAGTAAACCCTGTTCCTCCTCAGCTCCACTCCCTACCCCAGTAAAAAATTTGAAGTATATTCTGTAGTTACAAAAGTGAGAAGTTTGTTAAAATAGATATTTTAAGTATTTTTTGGTTTTAAGTTTTGTAGAACCAAGTACTATAGTAATTTTGCCAATAATTGGTAAAGTTTGTTTAGATTTACTTTATCTGTATTCTTGGCTTCTGGCAGATGAAGGGATAGAGGCATAAGTAACACGTTTTTATTTTCTTACAGCTCTCTAGAGACTTCCATATAGAAACTCCCAAAGGTTTTATGGATGGGTCATTTACACAGTGATAAAGAATAGCATGAAAAATGTAATAATTTTGAGCAGGTTTTTTTTTTTTTTGTATTGGTTCATGTTTGCAGCTTTTAATGCTTTTGAAGACTCATTTAAGCCTAGCAGACTGTCTAGGGTCAGTTGTGAAATTGTTTGTTCTCTAACTCCTAATCAAACAACCTGACAGTAGTAAGTGAATGTGTGGAGCGCATGGTATTCCTTTACTGAAACAACCATAGGTAGACCTCTGATACCACACATAGTTGGAAATCAGTGCACCCAGCTTCTCGCTCCCAGGAGAATGGAGATCTGGGTCTAAGAGGGGAGATGTGCGAGAGGAGTGGTGGACTGGATTAGCCGTGAAGTTGCTCAATTGTTGGAAATACTTGGTCTAGAATGCCTCTGGGCCACAGAACTAAAGCATTTTATCAGGCAATCTAATCTCTCAAGGAAGTGAGAGTAAAGACCACACCTTTAATTCCAATACTCTAGCGGCTAAAGCTGGCTGATCTCAGGGTTCTTGGTCAACCTGGTTGC